GCAAATAAAAGGGTCGACATTTTATGGTCAGGTGTTCTAGATTCGGCGAGCAGGATAAAAACAAAAAGTACTTTCACTAGGAATATTTCTAGTGAATCTCTACGTCGCCTGTGTTGCTGAAATGTACAAAAACATTTGTTGACTTTCATTTATCCCACTTTTTTCATAGAAAACAAAATACTGCTCTTATGCATGTAGTATATCAGAGGATTCGAGATTAAGATTACAGAAATAACATTAAAATGTGCATGTCTGAAAGTCATTTATAAAGGCACTGATATTAAGTTCTTCTAAGAAATAAAAAGAGAGATTTTTATATTTTTTTAATTTGAGATTTTTTAAAACAAATTCCCCAGAAATTAACTGTTCTATTAACTGTTTACACTTGACTAACAATGCAATACAATGAAAAAAAAAATGCAGTTCAAAAACCAGAAGCACTGATGCATAAACTCATCAATTAGCACCTGTTGTATGTGCAGTTCTATTTTTCTGCCATTGTTAAGTTTGACAAAGTCACTACCTGCTATTTCTGTGGATTCGGGTGATGAATTGTACTATAATATCCATCCATTCAATTGCTCCATTCAATTCAGGGTTGTGGGGGAGCAAGAACTTATCCCAGCTAACCACTGTCCCACTATACTGCCCCTTTACTATACTGTGAACCTCTAAAATAAAATACATTCATGTTAATCTCTCTGTTTGCATACTTGATCTTGTGTCCTTTTCTTAAATACAGGGTATAGTGAGACAGAATTTATTAAACGGGTCACTGATCTGTTTGAATTGAAGGTGTTTCTCCTGTATTACTCTTTTGACAGGAGATACACTGTCCTGGGATTCAACCACGATGGGACTGACTAATTCCTGGCAAGCTAGATCAACAGACATAGAGATTTCAGCCTATGTGATGCTGTCTTATTTTAAGCAGTCTAGGGTGGCGGAGGGAGTCCCTTTCATGAAATGGCTGAGCCAGCAGAGGAGCCATCTGGGAGGGTATTCATCCACACAGGTTTGCCATAGCTTGAACCTAACTTGAAAAGTTATTTGCATGATATGACCGCCAGATCATACAAGATGTTCTTTTAACATAGCCAACACCCACAAATAAAGTGGTTAAACAATGTTGTTTAATTCATTTGCAGCATCTGTTTTAAACATGATTCTTCACGTGTGAAGACGAATTGCAAACACAGTATTGCATGTGGTGTATTATACCCTGGAAGCAGAATCGCAAAATCATCCATTAAACTTCACAAAGTTTAATGATGCATGATGTACTGTACATCTATATAACGGTCAAAATTTTGAAGTGAAACAAGAGATAGTATGGATAGTTTGTTCACAAAAATCTTCCATGAGTTGCTCCAAAACAAAACCGAGAAAACCATAGACCTAAACTTTGTGTCTATTACTGTATGTTTAAGGGGGTGGAAAGGATAATTACAACTAAATGAGGTGATCATTGACTTGGAAGTAGATTCTTAGGAAATAATGCGTTTGGCTCTGGAGGTCTTTCTTGGCTAACATGTTACAGCTCTAAGGGAGGTGAGAGTGTGAAACATCATCCAACCATGCTGGTCAAGCTGATACCTTGGCTTCTTTCAAGAAACCTCTGGATGAGATTCTCGAATCGATTAGCTACAGTACCTGCAATCAGATAGCCTGGATAAGACAAATGGCCTCAAGTGATTTGTGACCCTTCTTATGCTCATAATGCATATTAGACTAAAAATGTGAAACATGAGGTTAGAATGAAACTGTTTTCGACTTTAACACACACTTCATGGTGAGATCCAGTCCTGTTTTGTGACAAACAGACGGTGGTTTAACTCTTTTTTCTTTTTCAGGACACTATAATAGCTCTAAAGGCCCTTTCGGAATATGCAGTATACACTGGGTCAGGTGAGATTGAGATTATGGTTAAAGTCACTGCTCCAGGTTTGCCTACTGCAGCCACTTTCCAGATTGATTCAACCAACTTTTTACTGCTTCAGAGACAAGAGGTAATCTTTATTCCCATTAAAAGGCTATGAGGGTAAAGAATCAATTTGAAGAAAAATCCTTTTCAGTCTTGAAACTGTCTATTGTCATGAGCACAATGTACCATTTTGAAATTAATCTGTCATGTCAAGCTGTCTGACAAGGAACTACCTTGTTCTATGAAAAATGATATTCATACTGTAGGTCTTTTTTTAATGTAAGAAGGTAACACCACCCATTATGTATGTTTTGCAGATTAAACCACAAAAAGAGATAAAACTTAGTGTCTCAGCAGAAGGACGTGGATTTGCCATTTTTCAGGTACTTTTTACAAACCCTGTTAGCCATAGCAGCTGGGTCTCACTGTGCAAGCTCACTCCGAGAAGACTTTAAGATGGAGGGTGCTTCAGGGTTGGGAGTTTTGCTGCTCGCAGTACAGTGAGCAGTGTTATGAGGGCTGAGTTTCTTGCAAGACTAGACATGGTCAAGGAAACAATAGTATACAACAAGACTAGACATGGTCAAGGAAACAATAGCATACAACAGGCACAGGATATAATAATATTCCCCCTCATTAATGGCTAAGGGATATAAACACTCATGAATTTGGACAGCTGGGTAAAATGAATAAGCTGATTGTGAAGAACCCATGCAGAACAGAGTTCAGAGAACCCCGCAGCTGTGAAGCGCTAGGGTTGGCCTTCCTTGTGTTAAGGAATTTGTATTTGGCATCACCTCGTTTTTTTCCTACCTCCAGATTCTTGCTGTTCATGGGTGCATGAAGAATTGCAGCCGGTGTGCCAATCAGGGCTTCACAAACAGTTCTAACTGGGGAGGAGCAGTTTTAAAATTAAACTGCAGATCAGAGGCATAACAGAACCAGCTCTGAAAAGCTTTGAGCTGAAAGATTATGGATAATTTTGAATTACACCTGGTGTCTGAGCTTGGACCAAATACAAGTGTCAACAAGAGCAGAGCATCCCACCAAACTTCTTTGTTATCAGTTAGTTATGCCAAGCCTTTCATTAAACTGTTTTGGAACAGTCCTGAAGAAATACCATCTTGGCAATGCAATTTATTCCATATAAACATTTTTCTTTTCACATGGATTAGTTCACTTTTTGAGTCTTGGTGTAGGTGTACTTCTGAGACTTTAGAATTGAGTGAGTTTTGAACTTAGACCCAACATGTGGGCTTGGATTGGCATTCAGTTCCAGATTTTCCACATTCGTGGGTTTTAGTAATGCAGATGTTCAATTTCTTACTCAGCAGTGACAAACAGGAAAATGTTAGCTGATGATAAATTAGCTGTTCAAGGGTAAATGTGCTGGAGCACAGAAATGCTTATCAGGCACTGATTTTGTTGATCATCCGGTTCCACATATTCATGAAGGTAAAAGTTTAAAACCTAATTATTGGATTGTAGCATATTTTAGAAAAATAGCTAATGAACTACAATTGCACTGTTAGAGTATAAGATAATTCCTCATTTTGGATTTTCTTTGACCCAACATCGTATAGCAGCTGGTCATTAGAAACAGGTCAACAAATATTTTAAAATAAACAGCGCTTTGCATCATCCTGATTAATTCATGCACTATACAGAATATCTGGCTTCCACTTTCATAGTCATTGGAAGTTCATTGAATTCTGCCGTGAAAAGAAAGCAAGGTCGAAACAGATAAATGTTTAAGGATGTCTGCTCTAGTTCTCACTACATTTCCAGAGATTCCAAATCAGTGCAACTTATTTAGCACACACAACAATTAATAAGGGTCTCAAGGTCGTAAAAATTGGTTTTGGTGTTCAGTCTTCTTTAACATCATCTTCTTTATTAGTAGTATAACAAAAATATATAATGCATAAGTCACTAGTATGGTGCCACAATTAAAATAAAAATGAATTTCAGAAGATATAGACAAACCCCAAAAAGCATGATTGCAGAAAGAGACTTTATTGATACTGTCATAGATACACAAATGAGGTTGAAGGCAGTGAGATTCTCTTACCAGAGGGTCTGGGGCTTTTGGTGATGAGGCCATGCGGACGCCATGGAAACCAACAACTGGGCCTCAGTCACTGTGCGACAGCCCTTTCTCCTGAGGAATACAATATTTTGGCTTTTGAGGAACTGGCCTGGTCATATGGTAGAATCCCTCCCGACAGTCCAAGATTCTGCAGCTTTGGGGGTAGAGTTGGGGGATAGAAAGGGGATGTTTACTCACCAAATGCTAAGAAATGTCTTGGACGATGCTAGGAACAAGGTCTAAACAGCTGTACAGTATGTAAACCCCAGAGGCAGTGCTGGCTGGAATTGTAGCTTATGTTTCTCCTGAATGTTCATGATAAGCTGTGTTTAGCACTGATATTAAACAGCAAGTACTGTGTAGCATTTTTATAAAAATGTTACAATAGTAAAAGTTACTTTAAAAGTTTTTTCTCAGTAGATTTGGACTAATTTTTCTCTTTATTTGTATAAAACAACAGCTAAATGTTTTCTACAATTTGAAGAGTGAAAGTTCATCGAGGAGACGCAGAGACACAGAAAATAACGAAGCATTTGATTTAGAAATTGAAGTAAATGACCACAAAGATGACCTTAATCATGTTTCTTTGCACATATGCACAAGGTAAGATTTAGTGGTATTTGTTCATACTGTATGTATTTCAATTCTAGAGATTTCAGTCTTAAAATCTTTCTTTTAACAGTGCTTCAGTGTTTATGTTGTAACCAGAGTAAGACTGTGAATAATAGTTTTAAATTATCTTCCTGTTATAACTGGTTTCTTTGTGTAAGGGATATTGAAGCACAGTAAAAAGTGATTGAGGAAGAAGGACTTCTTATCCATGATCAGGACAGTCAGCAAAGAATGCAAAATGAAATGTTTCTTCTAACAATGTCAAGTCACTTTTTGTGTTTGTGGGGATCTGGAATCTGTGTCTTATTTTGAGTGGATTTGTGAATTAACCCGTTTTTGTTTGGATAGTTTGATTTGGTGCTCACACTGTAATTTAATTGCTACAATATATAGGGCTGTTATGATCAGAACAGACAATGGGCTTTATGCATCACAAGTGATTTTCTTTCTAAGTGTATGAAAATGACAGTGCTTCTGGGAGATATTTGAAAAAAAACATTTGTTAAACAGATTTATCAAGGATTTACACAGCTTTCATTCCAGAGTGCAGACAAGTAGCATAAAAAACCCCAAACACATTGGTGTCATTCAAGTAGGGAGCTGTGTCAGCATGCGTAGGCTGCAAAGGAACATGTAAAGGGTTATTCCCTGCTGAAAAGAGAAGAAAAGAAACACAAAGTTTCGGCTCTGGAGCCTTCTTCGGGTGTGAGGGAGGAAAATTGACAGCTGATAAAGTATGGGAGAACAAAGTGGAGAGGAGGCAGGAGCAGGAGAGAGGCAGAGTGGGCACTCAGGTGGTGTGAAGTCAAAAGAGGTGATGAGAGGTGTGAAGTCAAAACCTGCAAATGAATAGAGAGGATTCGAAGGAAATGAGTCTTTTGTTGAGAGAAGGGTTAAGGTGTGATCCTAGTTTCAGGATAATTTTGGTTTTGGATGTCTTTCTGCAATAGGAGTTCTGAAGCTTCTCTTTTGAGAACGCAGACAGGAAGATCAGAATGATCATGGCCGTTAGAGGTGAAATGGGAAACTATGGGCTTGAAGAGATCTTTCATTCTCACAGCCATGACATGGTTCCTTTAAGTGGTCTCGCAGTCTCCTTCCAGTTTCACCAATTTTGATAACCTGCCCTTTTTTGCAAGAGATGCAGTATCTCTATTATGGAAAAAGAATGCCACACTAAATAAGATAAGATCACTTTATTAGCCACATACTGTACAATTTCTTGCATTAGGAATTTGTGTTTTTGCATACCCCCTGCTTGCTCTCCATGAGGCACACAGACAGAGAGAGAAGCTGGGGGTCAGAGCACAGGGTCAGCCATTTATACAGCACCCCTGGAGCAGTTGGGGTTAAGAGCCTTGCTCAGGGGCCCAACAGAATAGGATTCCTCTGCCAGCTGCAGGATTTGAACCAGCAACCTTCTAGCCACAGGTGCAGATCCTCAGCCACAGAGCCACCACTCTGCCCCTGTGTGAACCATTGCCCTATTTGTGATAGCAGGCTATATGCTAAGGTACTGTTGTGTCAGTCGAAGGCCTTTTTGACAAAGTATATCACAAACAGACATTTTGTATGAAGAAGTGTCATGCATCTGCTCCTGTTTGCTGCCTCCTCCATATTGTTCATACAGCTGGAACATTGAACATTGACATACACTGGATGGCACGCAGGTTTGTGACCTTTCATATGGAAACGCATATGAAACACATCTGCCCAGCTCTGGAAAACATTCAATTGTATCTTCACAACCTTTACAAAAAGAAAGTCGGGTCCCTCCGTATAGACTTGAAGATTTAACTTATTCCCCTCGTCCCTTTAGGCGCTGTAGATATCATCTTGGTCCCACAATTATGCAATTAATTACGGCTGAATAACCAAAAGCTGAAAGGATTCAAAGTTCTTCAGATGATTCACAGAGTCCCCTAAAACATGGCCCCTGAAGTCAGTTAAATCTTTCTCTGCTTCCCTTTGGAGTGATCAAGGTATTCCCATTCTATCAGACTTCTTTTGAAACAGCGACAGTCTTCAGTTATTCTGGGACTTTTAAATCTTACTATGAACTAATTGACTCTTTTTTTACTTCCATCCCTATGGTGCAATACAATGCCTGCTTATGGTGTTCCCAGGAGGATGAGATAATGCACACATCCAGTTCTTAATTTGCAGGACTCCGGAGAAAAAACAAAGTCACTGACTCCTCTAGCGTTGTTCTGGTGGAGGCTTCAAACACACCCAGAGCAGCTGCTATCATCTAGAGTTGAGACTTGAAAGTTTGAGAAAGTTGGAGAAATATCCCAGCACACAATTGGAACAATGTAAATGTGACTGCTTGGCACCATTTACACATTTTTGGAATGTCTAGATTTGATTAAATATAAGAAACAGTTTTTTTTGTCTTTCAAGGCGCAAGTAAAGTTTAATTCTACACATAAAAGTAGATAAAAGAAACAACATAGTGGACGTTTAGCTTATTTCAACACTGTTTTTTCTGCTTTTCGGTGTGGAATTACTTTAATATATTTATACTTCAATATTTTTTGTTGTTGTCCTGTAAAGCATTTTGAGAAGAACTTTAAAAAGCACTATATAAAAATAAAGTTGATTAATCTTAATACTATTATTATTAATATCAATATCGATATTATATTTATAAGAATAATGTTAATAAAGAAATTAATATTTCCTTAGCAGCCTACACGCACTGATCCAGTTTCCCAGCTCCCCACTCAAACTTCTTTTCTTTCACCTACTGTTCTAGTCCTCTTCTTCTAGAATACTTTTGCTAAATGACATCTCTTGGCCACAATGGCCACACAAGCAAAAAAGCAACAGATTTGGTTAGTTTCCAAACAGACACTGCTCCCCATTCACTCCTCTGGCACCAAGGCATCCTGTCCCAACCTCATGTTTTTTTTATGTGGAGCTTGCTTAATATAGTCTGTTTTGAAAATTGGAGTTTGATGAAAAAAAGATCACAAAAATAGAGAAGAGACCAAAAACAGGAGGCTAGTCAAGACATTTAACCCCAAACTACACAATCAGCCTCTGCCATGCGTTCTTCCAGCTGCTGAAGCATTGAGGCGAGATTTGAGGACACAAGGAAATCTAAGTAAAATCTTTCTCTTTCACTACATATACTGAGTTGTAGTAAAAATGTAGCAAATCTGAAAGTTTTAATACTCATTTGTTTCATTTTTAATATCTCCCATTATATATATTTATATATATATATGTGATTCTATATACAGTATAAGCGCTTTGAGAAGCCACCTTTAAAGGTGCTATATAAAATAAAGTTTATTATTATTATATTTTCTATATTCAATTAGACATAATTCATAAAATACTAACATTGTTCAAGTCAAGGTTATTTACATGTATCTCCTCCTAAAGATTGTTGGAAAATCAAAATGTTTCTCAGACCGGAATGGCGATAATGGAAGTGGGCTTCCTCAGTGGTTTCGCCCTTGATGAAAGTGGAATTGCTACTACTGAGGTTATCAAGAAGGTAGAGACTTCTCCAGGGAAAGTCAACCTGTACTTGGATTCAGTAAGTAATATTTAAAAGATTTCTCGGGGGGCGTTTCCCTTCTTAATGCTGGCACACGGCAACAATCCGAATGAAGGAAATGTGCTTGCTTTGTGGTGGTGATTTAACTCAGATTGCTCAAATATGAAAACCCTAAAGGAAGAAATACATTTCATTTGTCAATTATTTCTCTTAATTACATTCTTCACCTATATGAAGAATGATTCTACATGTAGAAAAGAACATTAAGAGGTCTGGAACAAGCTTGCCAGCCATGCTTGAAGCTGATACCTTGGAGTCTTCCAAGAAAGGTCAGGATGAAATCCTGCCAACTGGTAACCACAGAGACTCGTTGAGCCCAACATCCACCTCTTGTCTCAAAACGTATTCTCCTGTGACACTGCTTCAGACTTTGTTTTGTGTGAACATAGTGCATCCCAGAAGTCAGTTTTTTGGTTGTGTGTTCCAGAACTCTGTTTGGTTTACTATTTTTTAAATTTATGCTCAAAATGTAAAATCATATACTGCTTTGTCCTTTTTAGGGGTTAGTGTTGCTGAAGTTCCAGATTTATCTAATCTGTTCTAAATGTCTTGCATAGTCAGTGGTTGCAGTGGTTTGTCATGAAAACTGGAATGGCTCACAGGCAAAGGGCTGGATACCTCAGCTGAGAGCAATTCAATCCCCACAAAAATAAAGGAAATTGTGGTCACAGTAACATGCAAACAGATGCATACCTTGAAGTACAGGACAAAGTGCAGTCCTACCAGCCAGGGAGAGCTCAAGATTGTTTCAAATTGTAAATCTAAGCAGATTCTGAAGTGTAGTTTTTTTTTTACAGGCCACGCACAAGGGTCCTTCTGTGTGGCAGTTTGACCTGTGTTCTGCAACTGAATTGATGAAATTAGCAGAGATACTAAAACTGCCAAAATGTCAGGTCTCATTGACAAAATGTGTCCATGATATGGAGCATGCACGGCCCACAGGAACAGGGCTGGTCATGCCATTAAAAAACATAAACATCCGCCAGTTTTATTTATATTTCCCACTGTATCTCCCCCTGACTTCTTTCATAGGTTACAGCACAAGAATTCTGTGTGGACATACCCGCGATGAGAGACTCCAAAATTGCTAATGCCCAAGATGCAGTGGTGCAAATTTATGATTACTACGAACCCCGTAAGAAATATTGTATTTAAAGTCTAAAGTATTTTTGCTAAGATTCATTTTAATACACATCTAATGGATTCCGTACGATGAAACTCCGTGTATCTTTTTAATTCAGGAAGGAAAGTTGTCCGCACGTACAACTCTGAAGTAATGCGAAGCGTGTCTACTTGTGCTTTCTGTGGTGAGGACTGCAGTCTTTGCAAGGCCTCAAGGATTATTGAAGTGACAACCAGCGGGACCGAGGACCTCTTCCAGCACTTTGGAAGAATCGTATTGTTTGGATTTTTCGTTCATGCAGTTTTAATTTTGTTTCAGTGAAATCCATATGTGTTTTAAGTACAGCATAACAGTTCTTCAAATGTCAATACACAGTCAAAAGAAGGCTTCACTGATTTTGTTCTGTTTTTTTTTTATAAAGCAGCTTGAAGACCTAAATCATTTAAAATTCATATTTTAAATTAGAATTAAATTCCTTTTTATTTCACTTTTGTGATACTATGTAATATACGGTAGTCTTATTTAGTAACGGGTGTACACTGAGTGAAATCAGGGTGGTGGTTATATCATTGTCATTTAGAAAATGCAGAGGTTAGAATGAGGAAATGAAATATGTTGCTTTCTATCAAATTCAAAGATTGTATTCCGTTTTCTGAAAGGAATAAAGCAATTTTGTTTGTCTTTATCATTATATTCTTTTACAACCTGAGAGCGGCTCACGTTTGCTGTGTAAGTAATCCGAGCTGCCGCCAGAGGGAGCCAGAGCCTTTCGCAACGAGAACGTTTTTTTTCCAAGTTGCCTTTAACAGTAAATAAAATGTGAACGTCAGTCACAACTTTCATTAAACAGTTTTAAACAGTTGATTAAACAATCGATCACGCAAGGCAGTAATAAAAGCCTATTAATAAAGCAGTAATTAACACTTAGTCCCATGCATTTGATTTCCAGAAAAATATTATTCTGGTTTGATTGTAAGGTAAGAAAGAAGAGAAAAATCTCCTGGCACTTTTTTGTCCATTCAGACAAGCTAATAACATAGACACTGCAAAAGATCCAATCCTTGTTAAAGGTATACTAGGGCAGCTTTTGAATTATGTGATTTTAAAATGAAGGCAAATAACCCATGGAAAAAAATTCAGGGTCTTGGATTCAGGGTGACCACCAGAACATCTGTAGTGAAGACTGATGGTGGCTTTTCTGCTTGTTGATGTATTTCCAAGATTTGTGCTCTCAGCCAAGAATTATTTTCCTTTCCTGAAAGCAAATCCAGGGGTGTCAATATATTGCATAATGTTCTAGCTGGACAATGCAAGACCCCACAGCTTGGATTACAACGGCACAATCTCAAGAAATAAATGTTTCCGTCTTGCCAAGAGTTTTTTCTCTTGAGCCAATGTCATGAACAGGAGGCACATTTTAAGAGATGACCTTGTCCAGTTGGCTGCCACTGTGTAGGACTAGTTGTAGAACAGCCTGTTTAGGTTGATCACATCTATGTGTTAATGCTGCGACAGTATGATTATGATATTATGAGGTTTTGCCTAATATTATGAAATATTTTCATTTTAATAGTGGCGTACTGAAAACATGATTTTGTGATATTATAACCTGTCACATAAAAGATTGATTGTGAAACTAAAATATGTAGGGAACTAAAGTTTGAAAAGGGGTTAATGATTTGATAACGGAAAATGGTGTCAAGATGAGAAATTTGTAATTGGAGCAATTTCATAGAAGCCCAGTGGTCTGTATTATACCTCTTATATTGGAAGAGGTGTTAGTGGGGCCAGCAGGGGGCGCTCACCCTGCAGTCTGTGTGGGTCCTAATGCCCCAATATAGTGACGGGGAAACTATACTGTAAACAGACGCTGTCCTTTGGATGAGATGTAAAGCCGAGGTCCTGACTCTCTGTGGTCATTAAAAATCCCAGGGCTTTTCTCGAAAAGAGTAGGGGTGTAACCCTGGCATCCTGGCCAAAATTCCCATTGGCCTTTACCAATCATGGCCTCCTAATAATCCCCATCTATCAACTGGCTTCATCACTCTGTTCTCCTCCCCACTGATAGCTGGTGTGTGGGGAGCGTTCTGGTGCACTATGGCTGCCATCACATCATCCAGGTGGGGCTGCACACTGGTGGTGGTGGAGGGGAGTCCTCAATACCTGTAAAGAGCTTTGAGTGGAGTGTCCAGAAAAGCGCTATAGAGTGTAAGCAATTATTATTATAATAATAATTATTATTATTTTCTGTCAGTAATCATGGCTGTGTCTTAGAGAGTAAAATCATGCTATTTGCAGTATCATAATTGGAAGGACAGAGCAAAGGAAGTATCAATGGACTTAACGGACACTATTCAAGATTGGCTTAGTAACCCGGAAACTACAATTTAATGTTAACAAGTACAAAGTAATACATGCCGGTGATAGAAAATACTCTAAAAGATGGGCAGCACTACATTAGAAAAAGCCCATGAAAAGGCTCATCATTATTCTCCACCAGACAATGAGGTTATAAAAAGTAAAAACATAGTGCAAAGTGGTAGTGAATTTAAATACAGTTGCATTAAGGTCAAACAATGCACTAGGGCCTCACTTACAATACAAGGAGCAATTGTAGTTGTCAAACCAGAAAAGGGACATACTGTACTGTAGCTGCCTTAGAAAACATTCAAATAAGAGCAATTAGAAAGATTCCATTGTTTAAGTGAAATGGCATACATAGATAGGTTACATCTTTTTTCAATTGCAAAGACACAAATTCACAAATGTTTAGCATAATTCACAAAACAGTTCATGGAAAATCCTAAATCATAATCCTAAACCGAATTTTACAGAAAAATAAAACTCTATGCCAGTTTTCATTAGTTTACATAAACAAATGCTTGCACCTAACAAAGGAAAACAATATGATGAAGCTTTCAAGCAAAAGAAAAAAAGCGGTATATCTTTGTATCTTTTTATGTCAAAATGTTT